ATATCGATTACAAAACTTCTGTGAACTTTTTGTACATACCTTATTTGTTAAACGTTATTTTCTGTTAGGATATGAAAATGATTCTCATCATTTATGGAGAATTCCAGGTATTTTAAATATAATATATAATAATAATAATAATAAATCTATAATTAAAATTGTTAGGTGGTGGTGGTATTCCTATATCAACATTAGAATTGGAATCAATTGGTATTGTTAGTGCATTAAATGGTTCAATATCAATATATCTTACAGATAAACGTGGTGTTGGTAAAAGTAGTTTATTAGAATGTCCAATATCAATTATTGAAAATTTGTCAGCTTGTTTATCATATATAAAAGAAAATGAATATCGTTTAAAAGAAAATACATTTACAAATACAGGATATGATTTAGAATATATTCTTAAAGTAATAAATGGTGATTATCGTCAATATTTAAAATCTAATAAACGTGTTATATTAATGGGATCAAGTCAAGGTACTTATCTATTACAACGTTATCTTCATATAACTGAAGATAATCAACAAGTTGATGGAATAATATTTGATTCAGTTTTACCAACTGATATAACACGATTAACTCATGGTGATAAATATATGAATTATATTTTTTTAGATTTATTTACACGTTGTTCACAAGATGAACAAGGATGTTCAATATATTTTCAAGATAATTATCCAATTCGTGCACTTTATACTTATAAAATGAATGAAGATTTTCAAACAAATTCATCTTGTCTTTATCAATTAAACATAACAAGAGAAGATATTGATAAAAAAGTAATAGAAATAAATATAATATTTATTTATTTATTTATTTATTTATTTATTTAGATGTCATTTATTTTTTATCCAAATTCAATGGAACTTTTTCCTGCATTAATCTATCGAATAAATCGATGTAATTCGGACGATAAAAACGTTTTAAAACATTTTATAAATGTAACTCAACCACCAGCTCAAGATCGTCTACCAGGATATTCAATATTAGTCGAATTAAATAATAATTTAGCTGAATTATGGTCTCCATTAAATCGAAATGAAAAAAATCCTTCTTGTGATTATTTAAAAGGATTATCAATGAATACATTTGTAGGAACACATGTTATGCCTGATATTTATTGTCCTATAGAAGAAAAAAAAATCTTAGGATATCCAACTGATAAATTTTATAGAAAATATCCAAAAAAAAAAAGTAAATTACCTCTTTTATTATTGCATGATATGCTTTTTTTTTTAAAATAATTTCTATTTAAAATAAAATAAATTTAATTAAACAAAGGTGATATGGATTCAGCATTACCAATTCCAATAGCACGACATTTTTATAAACAATATTCATTAATTAATTCTAATATAACTTATATTGAAATGGCACGTACAGGACATACACCTACAAGTAAACGTTTTTTTTAGTAAAATTTCTAAAGTTTTATTTCGAAAAATGTAGATGCAGCTCCAATGATAGACTAGGAAGGAAATTGTGGTTGGAATATAGCAATATCATATATATTATCACCAACATTTCAACCTGATCGTTCATGTTTAGATAAAATAAGTAAAATTGATTTTTCTGGTAGAACAACAAGAACTAAACGCTTAGCTATTCAATATTTTGGAAGTGATGATATTTGGGGAATAAAAAAAGAAAATGAAACAATAAATAATTTAGGTATCACTATTAAATATAGATTCTCTATCTTTATTTCAATTTTAATTATATTTATATAATATCCTTTTAACATATTTTTTCTTTTTCCTATTATTAATTAATATTGTTTATTAAAATAAAAATCTCTATATATAAAATTATAAAAGATAGTTAATTATTATATATAGATAGAAATAAAGTCGAAAGTTTCATTTAAATATCTATATTATATTTCTAATCAATGATCATTTTAAAAAGAAATTTATATTTAAAATAGATTGAATAGAATCTAATCAATTGATTAGTTTCACCTTTCTACAAATAAGATAGATTTATTAACAAAAATATAACAATCAATTTTAAATTAAAAATTATTAGAAATTTATATTCGAAATAAATAAATTATCAGTTAGCCTTATCTTAAAGTATATTGAAATAAAGATAAATTATTTCAATTCTAATAATAAAATGTAATTATCTTAAATTTTTTTAACTTATTAATAATGATTTCAATTTGAAGAGTTTATAGAAGAGAAATCGAAATAAATCAATTTACAATCCTAAATTATTTTATTTATTCAAATAAAAATAAAATAAAATTTGATTCATTAAAAAAACCAATGAGAATTTAATCATGTCAATTATCTATTATCGTTTGTTTAGTTAGTAAACAATAATTAACTAACTTATTTATCAATAAAAACTAATAATCGTCAATATATGATTATAGTTGAATAAATAAATAGAAATATATCGATGTATTTATTATTTTAAAATAAAATAAAATTCACTTTATTTTATTAGATAATTATAAATAGAATTAATTCAAAAATCACTTTAAAATGGTAAACGATTAATAACTATTATTTTACTTTTGATAAATATCGTTTTTTACAAAATATAAATAATTATATTTTTATTTTATGTTAACTTTCAATCTGATTAATAGAATATAATAGAGATTTTTTTTTTAAAACTAAATCTATTAATTCTATTCTTCCATATAAATAATGAAAGAGATACTCTTATTTAATCATTTAACTTTATTTTAAGATTTTTCTCCTAATAAACATCTACAAGATAATTATCAATTATTCATTTCATCTTATTAGATTTTTTTATCCGAGAATATTCAACTCCGAATTCATTTTCTCTATGAAAAAAAAAATAAAGAAAAAATGATAAACATATTCGTGCGAGGTCTATTTACAGAGAAAAGATAAGTTTAGCAATTATTTCTGAATGATACTATTCGGATCCTTCAACGTTAAATTCGAGTAAAACAATAAATTCTTTTTTAGCGAATCCGATTGGTATATTCACCTTGACTATTAAAAGATAATCAAACATTTCGAGATTAGAATATAACTGAAGGATATACAATTGAACCCATATGTATGTAGATCCGATGGAGAATCTTATTTTGATGGATGTGTTTTTACCGTGCTTATTTGTTTATCAGCTCATGTTTCATTGCAATCTTGTGAAATGTTATCGTTTGACGATGACAAAATTTTACATAGCATAAAAAGCAAACTTAATAGTCTTAATAATAATGGAACAGAAACTATTATTGATTCTATTCAAACTTGTGGATATAAATGGAATATAATTGAAAATGATGATGGTGACTATTTTAAAGACCATGCACAACGACAACGATCTCAGGTAACGAACATATTTATTGGTATTATTTCCCTATGTAAACAAATATGGCACGTTGAAAATGTTAAAGAGTACACAATATTCAAACAATTATCAAGTTTATTACAAATATACAACTGATGACGAGTCAAAATAAAATAATCAGATTGTTCGGATTGGATCGAACTGAAATTGAGGTGGATGACCTACATCATTTGTGAATAATAGAATTTCTCATAAATGAATTTTCTCATGTCTTTATAGTGGTATCGATTTTATAGTGGTATCGATGTTGTCCTTTAAACTTATTGAATTTATTAAAAATGTTATCGGAGTTGTTGTTGTATCGTTAGTCTATGAAGACATATTCATCAATCATCAAATAAATGTTGAACTGAAAATTCCAAAATGTACTTTGGATGAAACTGATTTTGAAACGATGATAATAATAGAATTTGAAATATATCAATCATATTGATTATTTATAATATGAAATTCGTTTTATTAACTAAAATTAGGAAATTTATTTTAGTGATATATTCTCTTGGAATTATTCTAAAGTAAAATCTGTTATACTATTGTTAAAATATGAGTCTATTGTAGGAGAATCTATTCTGTAAAATATATTTTTTCTAAAAATAATATATATAGATGAATATTACGTCTTAATTAATATATGTCTATCCGAATATCTTCTTTTAATGTTTTCATTAAATAAAAACATTCTCTGACAACATAGATAACAGATTGATTCACAGTTGTTCTCATGGTTAATATAATGAGATGACGTCCAATCTTTATCTATGCTCGTACTTTGTAATACGAAAAGTATGATGTCAAAAAAATTTGTGTGTTCGAAAAGTTTTATGACTCCGTAAAGGAAAATGAGAAAGCAGAAATAATTGTCTTGCGTTCTCTTTTTGTTGTTTGTGCCCTACATGCGGGTATAAATATAAAATATATTCTCTTGTTTTTCTCCTTGATAAGTTGTAAGTAAATATCAACTGAAGTCTAATAACGAACTGAAATAATAATAAAAAAATGTCGACGGTTTATTATACATTAAGTAATGAAATTTTTCGAAATTTTTTATTTTATGCTGTGGCATCACTTCTTAAAATGATGATTATGTCATTATTAACTGCTCGACAACGATTTCGAAAAAATGTAAACAAAATTTTTATTATATTTTTTCAATTAAAATCAAAATGAATATATTCTTTGTTAAAAAGGCATTTGCTAATCCCGAAGATGTTGTTACAAGCAAAATAAAAAATCTTGTACCAACAACAACTGATCCAGATGTCGAACGTGTTCGTCGTAATCATTTAAATGATATTGAAAATATAATTCCATTTCTACTTATTGGATTTTGTTATATTCCTTGTAATCCTGATCCTAATATCGCATTATGGCATTTTCGTCTCTTCTTTTTATCAAGAGTTCTTCACACATTTGCCTATCAGGTTTAGTTATTATTTTATTTTATTTTATTTTATTTTATTTTATTTTATTTATTTAAGATTCCATTGGCACAACCAAGTCGAGCTATCACTTTTTTTATTGGTCTTATTACTACTGTCTCAATGGCTATACAAGTTCTTATTCGGGTTTATTAACATTTTTTTATTATAGATTATCATTTATTTAATCACTAAATCATAAAATACATTATTTCGCTTAGATAAATATTTTCACCTTTGATTTTTTTTATTTATTATTATTTAAAGAACAATGATTAGATATTTATAAAATAAACATAAAAGAATAATTCTTTATTTATAACAAAACTTTGAATAAATCTCAAAATATTTCATTAGAATTACATTATTAAGAATATAACAAATTCTAATAGTAGTTTCAAAATTAAAACGATGATTTCTTTTCTTATTCCAATTAGAATATATTCTTTCCTATTAAAATATAGATCCAATAAATCTCGACAATTCGTCAAATAATAAATTTATTTCTAGGAAAATAGTTTATTTTTCTCTTTCTATAATCACAAATTAACAAATATTTATCTTTGAAACGAATCTTTATTACCTATTTAGGAAAGTTTTCTATTATAGAACGTCGTTTTTCCTATCACTCCCTATAAAGAAAAAGTTTCTTTCAACTTTTTATAAGAAATTAAAATACCTCCGCCACTACTCTTGAATAGTCCTAACTAACTATTTTTATTTAGGCAAAACGTTCGACTAATTGATAGAGTTGTGAATTTATCAATTTAGTTAGGTATGAATACCACTGAGGATTACAGTATGAAAGACAAATTCGATATTAGAGAATGAATATAAACAACTAAGAAATTCTTTTTATTGATGAACATATGGATAAAAGAGAGAAAGAAGAACAAATCAAGATCAAAGATACAAATAATTAAAATGAAAACCATATCAAGAATTATAAGGATGGTGGGAGAAACATTTTGACGACGACGAGAAACTATACACAAGGAGGAAGCAAATTAAAAACAAACGAGAAATAGTCATATGACAGGTGTAAGGTAAAATGCGAGAAACAAAAATCAGTGGAACACATACGAGAGATAGTTCATATAAACTTTCTCAATCTTTCAGAGTAAACTTTTTCTTCTTCTTCTTTTTTGTACTCGCTTGTTTTAATTTTCGTCGAACATTGTCAGATAAACTGCAGTGTTGCAAAGAAAGTAATTTGAGTGTTTGATTTTGTTCAATTATTTGAATAAGAGGTTCCATTGATTCGTCAGTAATTGACTTATTGAATGAGATATGAAGTTTTTCAAGAGGTGGACAAGTTGAATCAGCATCAACACCACAAAGTATATCAGCTAGTAATCGAATACCACGATCTGTGATACCCGTATTTGGTATAGCCAGAAAAGTTATTGATCGACTTTTTTGTAATAAATTAGCCAAATATTCAATTCCCTCATCTCCTATCTCAGGATTATTCGAGAAACTGAGATATTTTAACTTTGTTCGTGTTGCAAGTAATGCATCGACAAGTATTTTCACACCGATCGATGTGAGAGCATTATCACGCAAGATGAGTCCAATACATTTTGTTTTATTCTGAGAAAAAGCTCGTTGTATGATCAATGGCATATCATTATCAGTTACATTCATCGAAGATAGATTCATGATGCCAAGTATATCTAATTCATGGTTGTCTGCAAGCTTCTCTTCCAAAGACATATGTTTTCGGTTCGGATCTTCTGGTAAAGTTAGCTGTTCTTCGACTGTTAGATTGATATCGTCTTCTGTTTGCTCGTTCTGGCAGAAGCTACTGGCTTTGTTTGTTTGTAGATCTTGATTAGTATGATTCTCGTCGAGCTTTGAAAAGATAAAGTAAATAGAGAAGTGTAGTTGATAAGTTTCTAAAACCTTCTAAAAATCAGTATGTCATTGTAGGTTTTGAATGTATGATAAAAAGTTAGGTTGATATATTTTGGCGACTTACCAAGTGAAATAACAAGAAAATAAAGTTTGTTTCTTATCATTGAATTTTGTGTGAAAGAGTGAGACTCTGAAGGTTTTTACTCAATATAAGATGATAAAGATAGTTATTGAATTTTAAAAATAATAACTACTGAAAATCTGCAAGGACATTCAAGTATCAATCTTGACATTATAGTCATAACTTTTCGTGCGATTTTCTCGTGTATTTTGTTTTTGTAGTAAAATCTTTTCCAAAATGAAGAACGTCATAAGAATTTTTGAAAGAAGAGAAAATAAAACAAAGGTACCTTCAATTGTGAAATACACTCTGCAGCTTGATGATCATTGTTTTGGTGTTCAGTTTCCAACTCTTCGGACGTTGATAGTTGATCATCATTATCCGATTTAAAATTGTATCCTTTCCAAAATTTCAGACCTTCAGACCTTTCTTCAGTAGTTGGTGCTAATGACAGTCGATATTTGCTTGTCCTAAACCGAGAAATTGTAAAAAAAGACATTGACGTTTTTCTTGTTCATTTTATCGATTTATTGAAATAGTTAGACGAAATTTCTCTCTTCTAGCTGACATAGTGTAATAAATATCGGAAAATTAACTTAGAAGAGCAACTTTTTTTAATTTATCGCTACAAGTTTTTAGGACAAAGTATCGTGAAAAAAACAAGGCTAGATAAAACTATGGTATGATGAATTATTATTAAATAGATGTTTTCGATTTGGTCGACATCCAATAATTCTCTAGCTCATCAACTAGAGATGAGATTTTGAGCAACGTCCAAGGTTAATGGAACTCTATTAGAAAGTATTCCCAAATCAGACTTTCAAAAACATACGATGAATGCGATGAAGAGGAGAAAAATTTAAAATAGCTATTTTTTGTTCGTTCTGTTCCAATTTCGATCATTCAACAACTGTATACTATCAGACACTCATTTTCGACTCTTCGCACACGTCGACACTTGTCAAAGTTTCGAGTAGTTAGCAAGAGGAAACCTATAAAAATAGTTCTACCGACTCCTCTAATACCTTTCAATCAATTGAAATTTATCGAACTTCTGACTATTTGAAGAAAAAAATCCTATTGAACGAATATTTTTCGAATGATCCAGTAGAAAGAATCTTCAACGAAAAATACCAGTTGTGGCTGCTCAGTTTAATTTTGGTTACGTGAAACATTTTCAAAAAGTGATTTTGAAATGCTTTTTCTATTCGACGATCTTAGTAGAATTATTTATTTATTCTATATACTTGATTGGAATTTGATTATTTTATAAGATATATTTAATATCAATTTATCAAAGTTAACAATGAAATCGTTTAGTTTTCTAAATGAAAAGAATGATAAAAAGTATAGATGTTTTCGATCTTTGAAAAAAGTTCGAAATATTGATATTATAGTTCATCATAAAAATGATTTATTTATCAAATGTCATATTTACAAAATAAGTTGTTTATATCGAATCTCAAGTTCGAAAAAAGTTTTTCCTTTATTGGAGATATATGCAAAAGGTTTTTTTCTCTTATATTAAAAAAAAAATATTATTTTTAATTTTTAAAAATGATTAGTGAATATTAAAGTAGAAAAGATAACCTTCAACATAACTTGTATGACGATCGAAATGAACGATTTTGAAATAAGTAAGATTTTCTTCAAACTATCAACAAACTGTTATTCAATAATTGATGTCTAATAGAGTTTGATTTTATTCAGTAAGATTGTTATCATATCTGATCCTAATAGCGAACAAATCTGATTTCCTTCGAGACATATTACTGAAAAAAGTTAAATCTATTTGTTTATTGTCCTTTCAAAGATACAACCGAAATCAAATTTATAAGAATTTTGGACATTTCCTAATGGAAAAACGATAGATTTATTTGACCATTTACTGATAATAAATCAGTTTGATATTTTTTGTTTATCAGTGTAATGTCTTCATCTTTTGATATTGTGCTCTCTTTCAAGAAAATTTTCATAGTCACCTTTTTTCATAATGTTTAATCGACTAACAAAATGAAAAAAACTTATTTCGAGAAAGTAGGATGTCGAATAACTATGTTTTTCCTTTTATTATATCTGACTTTTTTTTATCATATTTACATTCTTTTATGTAAGATGCCGGAAAATTAAAAATTCACTAGGAAAATAGATTTCCTCGAATTAAATATCATCTTCATAGGTTTTTTTTCAACCTTGTTTTGGCTGATCAATCTGAAAAATATAAGTTAACTCGAAAAAACTTATGAAAAGTATTGGCTTAGAGAAATCTGAAAAAGACTAATAATTAAGTAGTTAGGAGATGATCTGTGGACTATGAACAATTTCAGACTAGTCATCTACTAAGACTTTTTTAGAAAAATATCAGACATCGATCTACTCTCACCTCTTATCATTTTATTCGTCCTTCTTTGCTCGATTGGCCAATAAGAAGTTGAGAAATGAAATATTTGGCTAATGTAGATATAGAAATGAAGTGTATACGGTAAAAATCTGATCCTTATTTTCCAATAAAATGATTGAATAAAATCTCTAAAATGTGACATAAGAGAATGAAAAGTGAATAGACATTGTTTATAATTTTGTTTTCTAAAATGATTCAACATTCTTCTGTTAGGTAGAATAATTGAATTGATTTTTGAAAAAAAAATCTCTTTAAACAAAAGTATATTCTTGTTGAGAAAGATTCAATTGACAAAAGTTGAATGAGACATTTTAAATTTCTCTCACTTGTCAAATCTGAAAAAAAATTCAAATGTTTTTACCTGTTTTTTGGTTTTTGATTATCTATCAAGGATACTATTGACGCGCTTCGCGTTTGTTTTGCATTTTTATCTTGATTATGTTGATTACTGTTTTGATCATCTTTACGAATAATATTCTTTGATGAATGAGGACCATTGAGAGGTTTCATCTTTCAAGTGTGTTCTTCCTATTATTATATGAAGATTTTTGTTTTAAATTTCTTTTTTATTCTACTATCGTCGTAAAAGAGCAATTAATCACTTTCGTATCGATAGCGTGACTTTCAAGCGTTTTTTTTTCCCGTCTATAATTAAACCTTTTATCGAAAGAGTTCTACGCATTTATTCTTAGAATGGACAATAATAGTAAAGACATGAATAGAGTGAAAATAATTCTTATATATAACTAATATCTCCATTAAAAAACATGAAACATTTATTTTCCCATCACTGTTATCTATATTAATCAACAATCATTTAAATGATTCTCTATTGAAAATAATAAAGTAAATTGGACAGAAAATGATTTTTTTTATGATAAAATATTGTCAGATAAAAGAAAATCCATTAGAAATATATTTCCTACATGTTAAACTTGTGAGAAAAAAGCAATAGATATGAAATAACAATCTTGAAAAAAGAAACAAATATATACTTATATTGGAAAATCAGTCAAATAATCATATTTATAATAAATTCTTAGTAACAACATTTACAATAATATCAATGGAAATCTAATCATGAAACAACTCTCAGTAGAGTTATGAAACTGAATTAAAAACGATTTAACTTTAAATAGTTCCTCAATAACTATACGAAAATCTAAGATAAGAATGATTATTAGCGTAACTCCATTCAGGTTAATATGTAAAACTGATATGTCTTGTTTATCTTTATAATATAAATAGAATATATAAATAAAGTGAAAAATTTCTAAAAGATAATAATTAGTTTTAAAAGATAATTGATGCCTCTTATTTATGTCGACATTTCGAAGAGATTTTCTATTCTTTAATCTTTGTTATAAGGGACTTTTTTAAAATTTATCTTGTTAGTATTTACTCGTCATCTAGTTTGTTTTTATTCAATTTTTGTTTTCATTTCCTATTATAATTATCGTTGGTCTAATCATAAATTCAACTGACAAATAATCGTTTAGTATAGATTGATTAGATCTAAAAAAGATCTTAATCTATTATTTTCTCTTTCGATCAACTTCGAAATACTGATATTAGTTATTTATCAAAGTTTAAATTTCAGAAGTTTACCATTTTTGTTTTGTCTGTCAGATCCAGGAATATTAAATAGAAAATTTAATAAATGACCACTTTTTCATCAATAATTACAATTCGATCATTAGAATTTTTTCATAAAATCCGATGGAAAACACAAAGAGTTTTTTTAAAATTTGTCTAGAAAAAAAGAATATATAATAGACGTTCGATCTTCAAACTGTTGGGAGTTGTCTTTATCAAGTCAGTTATCAATAGAATTATCTGAGAGGTGAAATAAAGAAAAGAGAAAGAGATTTATGTGTCTATATATTAAAATTTGGAATAAATCTATCAATTCAGATTCGATAAGTTAAAAATAGATCGGTGAGAAAAAGGATGAAAACTAGAGAATTATTTTATTTTCCTGATTATCTCATATCTCTTCGTTTACTGATCAAAATCAAGTAACCAGAAGTTTTTGTTTTTTATAATAATATAACAAAAAGCAAAGAAGACAAATCGTAAATGAAAATAAAACTATATAGAAGTTGATTGTCATCATATTGACAAGATTAAGAAATATTTCTTGTGAGAAATATTTCCTTTAATAATTGTTAAGAATTTCTGAAGTAATTCGAAAATTTAGTAAAATTCGAATAACCGATTATTGGAATATTTGTTTTCTCACCAATTATCTAATATCTCTTTCGAATTATTTCATTATTTTATAAATATTTTCTATTATTGAAAGTTTACTTCGAATAAACATTCGAAAGAGACATTGAATTCATATAACAAATTACTTTTATCAATAAAATCCATTTTTACTATAAACAAAATCAGATAAAAGATAATTTTCTTTAACTATAACAGTTTATTTTTCTTCTTTTCTAATTTCGTTAAAATCGAGCCTGTCAATATTGAAAATGAGAAGATTTTACTAGGCCTCAGTTCTACCCTGCTTTAAGCATTTTACTCATTTAACTATTGTGTTGCACGATAGATGATCTTCACTCAATCTATCACACAATTTCTTATCAAATAGATATTTTCTACAGCCGAATTTTACTCTTATAGAAATATTCAATCGAATCTGAATATTATCTATCTAACAAATATAACATTTAACAATAAAATATCTCTATGGATACCAATATAAAATAATAACTCTTCAATCAGGTCAGTCTATTGACCAGTTGTAACACTATTCGAATGATAAAAATAAATATCTACATTCTCTCAACTGGTAACAACCAAAGATACTTAGAAAAAGTTTCGATCTTCCTATGTATTTAGGGTGTATCAGTTGCGATTTGATCTAATTATGATGATCCATGAATGAATAGTATATTATTATATTTGTTGATAAAGCGTAGCTAACCGTTTTTTATTCTCTTTGTTAACTTAAACTAAATCTGCTCTTTCTAATTCTGTTATTAGTTATTATTAATCGATGTTTACAATTGAAAATTTTCTCAAATAAAAACGAATTGAGTTCTATTATAAAAGATAATTATTTTTAATTTCACTTCTATGATGATCGAAATGAAATCATTTCCAAGATTGATAAATCATATTTTTTTAACTTAAATTGAATTAATATCATAAATCATTTAACAGATGATCAAAAACTTTTGACACAAAATATTTCTCTGTTTTTTGTGCATTTAAATAGAATGGGAAGGAGTGAGAAGTAGTCAGCTAGAACCAAAATTTGATGTTCTTTTAGAATATATAATTAGAATTTTTCTATAACTTTTGTCTATTGAGCTAGAAGGAAATCTTTAAATGACTCAGAAATTTCCTTTCGACGACAAAAACATAAATGAAATTTGTTTGAGGCGTTCTATAAAATTTTATTGAATATACTGAAAGATAGAGAAATTAATTCTCTACAAAATGGTATATTTCAATCATCTTTCCTGCAAATGCTTTAGGAGCAACAAAGGCTTTTTTAAAATCTATGACATTAAAAATCATTATTTTTTCGAGTTTCGAATTTTGAGGCGAAATGATCCTCCATGATAAGTCTCCTATTTTTGAGTGAATCGATCTAAATACACGATTATTGCACCATCTTGTAGAGGATATATTAGACTTCAATACTATTTATTTAATGTCTTCAGAAAGTGCGATGAACCTCACAAAAGTAACATTTTATCTATTCAAAGAGAATTTGTTGAGCCTTTTAAAGATTTATTTTTAGCTCAATAGGCAAAAGTGATAGGAAAATTGTGATTATATATTCTGAAAGAACATCAAATTCTGATTCTGGGTGACTACTTCTTACTCCTTCCCATTGTATTTAAATGTACGAAAAACAGTCAAATATTTTCTATAAAAACTTTCCGACCACCCGTTATGTTGTGTAAATATTTGTTTAGATAATCATATGAAGAAAAATATCCTCCTAGACATAATTGAATATCTTCTATTTTTTAAATAAAACAAATATAAATTAAATTAAAAAGAGTATGCAGAAGACAACTCTCATTTATAATTAAAATAAATTGGAAAAATCAAAGATTGGACAAATTATCTAAGAGCCATTTTCCTATTTTATTGAATTTTTTTCTAGAGATAGATAATAGATAAACAATTTATATAAGACTACTAATTAAAACGATATTTATGCAATAAGTTGTTTAATAATATTTAACTCTTATCTGTCTATGGAAAAATAAAAAAAATTAGATTAATCTTTGAATATATTACTAATAAAATATTTTTTATTAATTTTCGAGTTATATATTGATGAATATGAAGAAGTTTTCGACGTTCTTGTTTTGAATATGTATATTGATAAGGTTTATCATAATAAATTGAAACAATTCTTCTTTTTTCATAATGAAAATCAATCTATTAGAACAAATTTCAAGTTTATCTTAATAATAAAGATAAGATTTATTCGATAGTGTAAAATCGATATAATATCCTTTAATTCTAGATAATTCAATATTGGTTGATTAGAATTTCTATTATTTTTATATATCAGAATATTGATAAAGTTATTTTTATTGAATTATATTTCGATAGTATATATAAAAGATATTTTTTTAAATTCTATCAAATAAATTGTTTATTTAACGTAGGAATTGAAATATTTTTCGATATTTTATCTTCTTCTCTAGATCATAAATCGGTTAATAGGTTACATTCAACTACATAATCATCTTATTCTTCAGAGTCACGTTTTTTTTCTATTGTCTATGCAAAAAATATTTGATATGTGTAAAAGACATAATTCACTCGATGTAAATCGATGAGTAGAGTTCGATTTATATAATAAATGATTATTCAATGGTAAGATGACATTTTATTTCCCGAAATAAAAGCAAATATGTTTATGATAAGTTAAATAAACAAGATTATTCTTTTATTTGAATGATTATAAAATATATTTGTTTTAAATATTGTTTCAACTGGTAAAGAATAATCGAGAAGAATCTCAAATATATATATTAACTAGTTACTAACAATCACCTATGATAATTGAAAAAAAAAACTTGATTTTATTATAAATAGTTAACTATTATAAAATGATATTTGTTGATTCTATGGGAATGTTTTCTTTTTAAATAAACAAATAAATTATTCAATCTTAAAATAAAATCAATTATTTAAACTATTGAAAATCTCTTTGGTTAAATAAAATATTGTTTTATTTCGAAATAAAAATAAAGCATGAATATGAATATTAATAATAAAGAAGAAAAAAAAGTGGATATGTGTTAAACATAGATAAAAATGATGTATTTTTGTTTATAACTGGTGTAATATTGAAGGTTGAATATAGTTAACAAATTTATAAATAATCTCGAATATCCAATGTATTCCATCAGTTTGATAATTACCAAATGGTTGATTAATAGAAAAAAAACGTCCTATTTTATAATACCAACGAAAAGGTGTCAGAAATAAATGTGCCCATTTATGACTTTTAGCTGATGCATAACAACTTGATAAAACATTATTAACGAATAATGTACCTTTATTTAATAAAAATAAAAAAAGAAATTTTGTTAAATAAAAAAAAAAAAAAAAAAATGTAAAAAACCTGTCATTGTTAATGGAGCAAAATATCCTCTTTTTATTTCAATTGTTATATTTCGAACTGGTGAAGATTTCAATTTCCCATTTATAATAACATAAAGTTTATCATTTAATTGAAGATCTTTAGCTGGAATATAATCGATTTTATTATTATTATTATATTTAATTGGAATTAAATGAAGACTTGTTAAACTTATTTTATGACCAGAATCAGTTATAAATGTATAAAATTTTCCTAAAATAATATCTATTCAAATAGATAAAACAAAACAAAAAATGCAAACCTTGTTTTGATGTTTGTTTATCCAACATAATTATCATTTCACTAGGAATTATTTTAAAATGATTGACACCAAGAATTTCATCAGCAGTTTTTAAATGATCAATTTGTTTTTGTTGACCATTATTTAAGATAACTAAAGAATCACCAGAAAAACATCCAACACCAACATCAGTCGAAGATGCACTAGCTCCTGCTATTTGATTTATATTTTTTATTAAAATAATAATTATTTATTAATTCTTACCTCTTCCATCATCTCCATTTATTTTATTTATTCCAGATAATAATAAAATAATATTTATAAAAATAAACATTTTTATCTTTAGATTTAAAACGATAATATGAAGAATTTAAATGAAGATGAAGATTTTTGAAAAGTGTCAACTTCGACTAACCTTCACTTTAAATCAATTGACTCAATAATAAAATCTATATATTTTTTTTTTATAAGTGACATTGATATAAAAGCAAATAGTTTTGTCAATAATTCAACTATTATTTATCTTTACTATTTTACTTTAACTATTCTATAATTACATATTAGCAAATCAATCATTTATCATAAATAACATTTTTTTTTGTTAAATTAGAAAGCAAATAACAATCAATATATACAAGATTTTTATTTTATTTTCTTCTTTTAAATTTTCGATTATTAGTTTAACAAAAAAAAAGACGATTCATCATTCTTCAATCACTTTCATTATTGACTTTAGACATATGAAAAAAAAAAAAAAGAACAATATTATTTTTACATTTAAGTCATTAACAATGAAAACACTCTTTTCTATTCTAGTTAAATAACCTATCATCGAACGTTTTTTTTCTTTTTTTTTTAATTACCTTTATATCAATTGAATTAGAAATTTTTTTTCTATAAAATAACTGATATAATCACTAATCATTACTAACATTGATTATCTATATATTAAACCATTTATTCATTTTGAATAATTAACAAACATCATCTTTAATCATTCAACTGACTAAGAGACCTTTCACCAAATGAGCAACTATCTTTATTCACCTTTTAATTATCTATCTTTTCGTATATACTATGAACAATTTACATAAATCTGTTTAAACGCAACCTCTAACAAGTTTTCTAGAGAATTTTTTCTTTTTTTCTTAACAAAGTATAATAGTGGCAAAAGTCAATAATTGGCTAACTTTTCAGAATAAACCTATTGGAATCTTAAATTTTGGGATCGATAGTTTTAGACATTGATGCGTTGAATGGTCAAAGAAAATAGAAAAAAAAAGATTTTGTTCTCGAGTGTCTTGTATAGTTGGTCCTCAGATGGACGGTCTCTTAAAAAGTAAAAGAAGAAGTTTTTATCCTTTCGAAGAATTCGATTTTATTATGTTTATTCAGTAGAATAGAATTATATTGAATTCGAAGGAATAAGTTTTACTTATCTGAGTATGAATGATGGATTCTCTATGTTTTTATGTTAATTATCAAATGAGAATAATGATGTAATTTATGTTTACCTGATAAATGAAATCTCTGAACGAGTTGTATCAGTGAACGAAATTGAATTTTAGTGATTAAATTCATTTCTAGATGAATAACGTTGTTCCGCGGTATTAGTTTTGCTTTTTTTTTCTAATAAACTTTTCATTCTTTTCGAAATGAAAAAAAAATGAACCAAACAAGTAGAACAATGGAAAATGTTTACTGGAACGAAAATGCGAGTAATTGAACAATTAGATAGATTAACATTAACACACACATTTTTTTAATTATATTTCAACAAAATCAGTTTTTAAATCTCGTTGAAACGACTTTAATTTGTTTTAATTTTACGTAAAGAATAAAAGAGTAGAAGTATTTATAAAAAAAGTAAAAAAATGAGTAATGAATGTAAGATACCTTTGATCGTGTTTAACAAAAGGAAGTTGAAAGATAAAATTGAATTTAAAAGTAGATCTCAAGATTTTATATGTATATAGACTCGAAATATGATTATATTATTTTGAGAAAACCGTTTAACAATATTCAATTAGTTGAGAGAATCAAAATTGATTAGAAAAGTTTTATTCAAAAATAAACTTCGAGATATTTTCTATATTTTTTGTTAATAAATATAAAGAAAAAAGTTGTTTAAATGTTGAAATGAGAATTTATATTATTCTCAATATATTTGTATATATAATATGTTATTGTTGATAATCAATGGTGATAAGTATGACTAAATATACCTCTATTAGATAGTTTTATCAATATAATCATCTTAAAAACTATTCAACAGTTATTTTTATAGTAAATATAATTAAAATTGATTTATTTAAGAGTAATTTAACAATTAGGATCCTTGTGAAGATTAATATTGAAAGTAATATTTATTTTCTATAATTGTAGACAATCGAATTAAATATTATGTTTTTATTTTGTTATTTCTAACGAAAATAAATTTCGAGATTTATTTTAAAATTTTCATCAATTGAAATGAAATGCAAAACTTTTCTCTTTTTTTATATAATTAATTTTGAATATAATTGAACTTTTTTCAAAATATTTTTATTAAAATTATCTGAAAAGAACAAAGATTGATAATCAGAAATATTCTAAACTCAACTGATTATATGTTCGATTTTCAACTCGGATTAATTTATCTGTAGTTTTAAGAAATTTTATCAAGAAAATCGAACTAGATAAATAGGAGAAAATCAAAGATAAATAATAAATAAAAAAAAAGATTTTTCTTTTATTCAATATTAATTAATTTAGTTGATTTAAGAAAATATTCTTTGATAAAATGTTGATCTATTGAATAAAAATAAAAAAAGTGAAGAAATATTTATTTTTATTTAATCAAGATGAGAATGATTTATTTCTCTACTGATTATATGACAGACTACTCTTCATTTCAAATTCGAATCTCATTCAAACAATACTGAATACCAAACTTGAAATAATCTATATTTATTTAATAAAAAAACAAACAATATATTTTCAAATAAAGTCTCAATCTGTTTCTAAGAAGATTGACGAATGACAAGTTTTTTTTTCGTTTGTCCATTCGAGTATTGAAACTGATGGACCAAAACCTAGGAAACATTATTCTCATTGATTAAACTGATCTTGAATTTGTATGAAAACTAAACGTTTTTAATCATGATCAATATCGTAGGAAAGTTTGTTTTCTCGTTGAGAAATTTTCTTCAAATAAAATTCTGATAAGTTAGTCAGTTATAAACTAATTAAGGTAAAAGTTTGATGATAGAGTTGGAATAGATCTTTCTCATCAATCATCTTCGTCGTAGAGAAACAAACAATTATATTAATAAAACCTATCGGTTTTTTGAAAGTGTTTAGAATTGTAAACTTTATCCAGAGTAATATATTTTATTTTCAAAGATTTTCTCTCATCATGAATGAAAATCAATTTTTTAAACGAATTTCAATAGTCGAATGTAAAACCGTAGATGCGTAGATGATGAGTTGTTTATCGTATCGAATTATTCAATGTTGTTTGAGATAGATTCGATTTTTTTTTAAATTGACAAAACTGAGATAAAAAAGAAAGTTTTTTCTTGTTTAAATATTTAAAGAAAAGTAAATTTAATTATCTAACTAAAAGTATAATATATATATATATTTGTTAAGGTAAACTATAAATAAAAACGTTTTGAAAATCGATCACCATCAAACAAAAAAAAAGCATCACATTGGCAAAAAAAAACAAAGTTCTGATTAAAAAAAAAAGCATAAATAAATGTTCAACCAAAAATTCTTGACCATAATGATGCACTTTTTCCTTGTCGACTTCCATCAGTAGTTTTAAAATCTACACCTAATTCTAATAATTTTTCAAAAGCAGCTGCAAAATCTTTATGAAATTTTTCTCCATCTTTAGCATATAAAAGAACATATTTTCGAAAATCAGGATCTTGAACTAATGCCATATCAGCTGGTAACATCATTAATGTTTTTGTTTTAACATCTTGATATTGTTGTGGTCCTTTCCAAGGACGTAATTGCCATTTTTCTTCTAATAAAAGACGAAAAAATTCATTTGAAAATGTTGTTGGTGAAAAAGTCCATGGTCCTTCATAACCACTTCGATCTAAATGACATCTTCCTAATGAATGAGCACCAACTAATGCAACTATTTCTTGATCATTAAAACCCATACGATAAAAAATATCTCGAATATGTTGAGCACCTTGTGCTGCATCTGGTAATCGACCATCAGCTGGAGATTTTTTCCCATCTTCATGATCATTTCGACCTGGACGCCATTTTATTTTTGGACCACCCATTTCTTCAATTGCAACAACAGCAGCTAATGTATATAAATCAGCATAGGTCAAACCTGGATGTGCACGATAAACACTTTCTAAACGTTCTCGAGCCAAATCTAATCCTATTATTATTATTATTATAGAATTATATTTAAATAAATAAATAATTTAAAAAAAAGTGAACCTTTATTAGCTCCCCATTGACTTTCAGGTTTAAATCTCATACATCCTCCATTAGATCCTCCAGTTGAATCAATATGTGAATAAGTTCCACTAGCATGCCAACCTAATCGTACAAATAAAGGTCCATAACTTCCATCATCATAATTATTATCATCAAGTAAATCAATAATTGATTTTCGTACTTGATCATAATCAACTTTTGATGGTGTTGCTAATTTATTATCAGATGGAGCAGTTGATGCATGTAAAATAAAAGCAATACCACCTGATAAAGCAATACCAGCAACTCCATTAGTTGTTGCACGAGCAAAATTCGATCTTGTTCGTGACCATTGATATTCTTGTCGATTATTATAACGTGATTGATTTGAAAATGATCGACGAGCAACATTATTTATTAATATACGAGTTATAGGACGTGAAAACATTCTTTTATATTATTTATAGATAAGATTCGATACCAATAGGGCAATTCTTTTTTTATTTCAACCTGTACAGTTTACTTATATATATATATATATATTAGTTATTTATTGGTTAGTTTATATTGACCTATCACTATTTTGTAAAAGTAAGGAGGACATTAATTATTATTGCATAGAAGTTAATATCTATTTTGATCTATCATTTTTTATTATTATCTTGTTTATCTTTTTATTTTATCAAAATATAATCTTCTATAAATAACTTTTTCGATTGTTTTATTTTGTTAAAAAAATCTTAATAATCAATAGATGTCACTATAACAAGCTGATTATATAATACTAACAGGCAATCAAGTCAGAATGACCTTAAATATCATATAGATTTATCTCAATAATCTCGAATAATTTTTTTTTATTTATTCTTATTTGAGATAAATATGAAATAAATAAATAAATAAACAACCATTTTATGTAGATTGGATGGGGTAACAGTGAGATAATTGAGATTTAACATGAAAATAAACTAAAATAATTCTTATAAGATTGATTATCAGAATTAAAATTCTTAATTGAAATCTAATGAAATTTATTAAAGTTGGAAAATTCTATAAAATGAAGATTTTATCTCTGAACAATATTTGACTAAATCTCGTTGAGAATTAATTCAATCTGAGTAATAATTATATAATAATAATTTTCTAGAGGAAAACTAATGAGAAAAAAAAAGAGCATAAACTTCTATAGAAATTAATTTATCTTCTAATTAATTCAAAAGTTTATTTTTAACTTAATCTTTTTCTATCGAATATTTCCTTCTACTATTTAAATAAATCTTTTCTTTTTAAACTCTACGAGTTTCTACAAAATCAACTTTATTAGGATAATGTAGAACTGAATATCGTTTAATATTCTCTCTCAAATTGAGTTGACCTTATTATAGATATATAATAATAATTAATTATCACTGAAAAATCAATATTTGATTAATTCCTATAAATTTATTTATTTATTTTTATTGAAAATAACATATCATCTCCTATAAAATGATAATATTAATTGTAGATAGATATATCTTGAATATGTTTTAGAGATTTATTGATAAACAAAATTTATCGTCTAATTATAGAAAAATAATGATCATCGTCAAGAGTCGATTGACTCTCAACTGAACTCTACCTAACCATTATCTATGATAATATACTCAATTAGATATTTGAGAACTATTAATAAAGAGCTAACTTAATATAAGAAAAAAACATCGTGTTTTTATATAACTAAAGATAAATTCTTTTATAAAAATAGTTTACTTTTATATTCAGATTTTTTAATCTCAACTTTATCAGACAGAGAGATCGCCGTCTTTACGATCCCTCAGTTCGAAATGGTCGATTTCATTTATGATTTTGATATTATTTCAAATAATGATTGACTTGTCTCTAATGAAAATAATGAAAATAATGAAAAGGTTAATATATGTTAAGTAATCTAGTCGATATTTGAGATGATAGAATTCGAATTGAATTCATAGATATATTATATTAATTAAAACGGTCTCTATTATCGTTTAGTTTTTTCTCAAACTCCACTCGAGATTATATTGAATATAGTTCTATAATATATTTATTTTATAATTATTCTAAACATGGTGAAATAGTTCTTCTTCGGATTGTTAAAATAATTTGAATAATGATTAGGATAAAGATAATTCAAATAAAATTGATAGTTGAAATAGATTTATCGATTTCTATGATTTATTATAAATTCTGATTATCCTCTTATTTTTTATCAAACAAACATTATTAAGATTTCGATTATTCTTCAATTATAAGAATGGATAAGTTATTGATTTTTATTTTTGAAAATTATTTTTCATTATTTATATAAATCATACAAAATTATCTAAGATAATCATATTGATCAAGTCTAGAATTGTGAAATTTTTTCTCGAATAATATAATGTTTTCTATCCATTTCTAGAGTGTTTTTTCTATAATATTAACAATCGAAGAATTCTATTTATCAATGAAAAATGGTTGAATTCTAATCGTTAATTATATATCAGTATTGATAAACCGAATAAAATAAAATTGATTTAAATAAAACTATTCACCATTACCTTATTATTCTATTGATATTGTTTTTAAAGTTCGAATAGATATAAAAGATATTAATATCCGATTTGTTATCTATTGAAGGTTGACTCTCATATCGATATAGTCCGAGTTATTTAAATCACTCTTCTGTTTAATGTTTTTAAAAATGAGTTTAATTTAAATTAAAATCTTTGTTCGTCTCTTGGTTGTCGATGAATAGAATTATTTAATTGGGAATTTGAATTATATTCTGCTTCTATTTCATCCTTAAATATAAAATAATATAAATAAATAAATAATATTTGTTATTAATAATGATTGACTAACCGTTGAAGTTGATACAGTAGAATTTCTAAATATTCCACAACATCTATTACAACAAAAATTACAACAACAACAACAACCACACAAACAACAACAACAAAAACCAAAGCAACATCCTGTTAGACAAAATACTAATCCAAATAAAATTTTTTTCAATCTTGACATTTTATTCATTGTTTGAGGATATTCTATATTGATATTATATATATATATTTATGAAGATTTTATTTATTTTACCCTCATATTGATCTATAAGATCAGCAGCTAAATTAATAATAAATAAATAATCAATATCTTAAATATATTAAATGAAATATCTGACCTTGTGCACCTAAAAAATCATAAGTTGATCTTAGTTTTGGATCAGAAAGTACTTTATAAGCTTTGTTAACAGATTGAAAACGAGCAGTTGACTCGGGATCAGAATTTTTATCAGGATCTATAATAGGATATTCATTTTCGAATAAATAAATAAAAAAAAAAAAAAAAAAAATCTTACGAAGTTGCAAAGCTAATCTTCGATATGCACGTTTGATTTGTTCATCTGTTGCTGTTCGACTAACTTCAAGAATAGTATAATAATCTTGATTTGTTCTTGAACTATAAACTATTTTGTTTTTTTTCAATATTCGAATTAGCTTATTCAACTTACGATCGTCTCTCTCGATAATTATCTGTCATTATCGTCCTATATCAGTATTCACTATTCAAAGAGACGAACTGATACTATAAACAAATATTTATATTTATTAATAAAAAAGACAAACATTTTAAAGTCATTTTTAAAATTCGAATTTATGAAAGAAGAAAAACAAGATTTTTTTGACAAAAAAAATTCAGTCGATTTTAATTAATAATAATTCTATGAATTCTATTCGAATAAAATAGAAGATTGTTTTCCTAAGATAAATATCTGTTGTCAAATATTGAAATATTGATTATTCTAAATAGAATTAAAATTGTTAGAAATGTATAAACCTCTAATAATAAATACCTATTGGATTTTCTATTGAAGACATATTTATTTATTTTATTTTAAATAAATCATCTTGATTATTGAATTCCTATTCCATTTTAATAAATTCGAATAAAATATTTTTTAAATTATATAAATAGAAGTGACAAATAAAAACAGATTTAATAATGAGAAATAAATTAATTTATGTTATCATAAAACGAACTTTTCATATTGATTTTCTTCGAAATTCATTCTGCTAAAATAAGATTCTTTTTTTCATCAAAGAATAAATTATTTCAAACCTTTTACTTTGACAACAGTCTCATAAAATTCTAACAGTGCAGAGTAACCAATCGTCCTTGAATGATCGACAATTTGTTTTCTTCTTTTTACACAATAAAATGTGCTTAAGTCAAAGCAAAGAGTATTTTTTAACAGTCGATTTTTAATAAACAGAACCGAAAAGTCTTTCGATAGTTTCACCTTATTTTCATATCTATATTATAAAAAGTAAAAAAAAAAACATATTTTAGTTAAATCCTCCCATTGAAATTAGTTTTCTCTGCGATAATCGAAAGGTATTTTATCATATATCTATATGTTAAATTTAGAAACTTTTTCGAATATTAACTAAATCCTATCTATTAAACATGTTTATCTACAAACAAAACCATTATTTATTTAATTTTATCCTACTCTCATGAGAAAAATCGTTAGGGAAGCCAGAATTTCGGCCCAGACCAAAATTCCGGCGAACTTTTGACCCGGGACGAAATTCATGTCATCGCTGTTGATAAAAGATATTCAAACTTTGATGAATACTTGGCACATCCCATAGTGCTGAGAGAAGGTCGTAGTGTTGAGCTATATGCAGGCCTCACAGCGCCGCCATTTTTCCTTCTTTCCTTCGAATCTTTGTTATTCGTTGTACATGTACACTCGATAAATAATCCTGGTTTTTTTCATTTTCGCTACTATTTGGGAAGATCATCGAAAAGCAAGAAAATGAGGATTATTCGACAAAGTTAAAACGAATAACAACGATTCGAAAAAAAAGAAGGAAAAATGGCGGCGCTGCGGAGCCTGAGTGCCCCGTTGTGCTGAGTAGTACGACGTACTGCTTAGCACTACGGAATGTAGCCACCGGTTATAGAAAAATGCCTGCTTTTTTAGGAATTGATGAGACGAATTTGGATCCAGGCCGAAAATTCTTTGGGCCGAAATTGATGTAACCCAATCGTTATAGTTTCTATTTAAAATAATCAATATATGAATGTCAATGATAAACAATATCGGAATAAATAAATTGATTATTATTGACCAGTTAATCGTAATAAATAAATAAATTATTATCATTATCGACAAATTGATAATCAAAGAGAAGATTATCTTTATTAATTTAAAAATGTTCAACAGCAAAAATAGAATAATTAACAAATCAATGATTATCAACAATACTCAATATTATCATTATCAATTAATAAATGTCAAAGACCAACAAAATCATGATAGACTAATTAAGGCCACCCCCCCCCCCCCCTCAAAAATCTATTTCAGCCCAGGAACGTCCGAATTAGATGAAACTTTCAGGATATGTTGGGGTTAGAAACAGAAGACTACCATAAAATTTTCAGCCCAAAATCTTCAGATTTCAGGGAGATATGAACCAAAAAAGGGTCAAAAATGACTCATTTGACATCCCAAATTTTTCGGTCCTGATTCGGTCAACATATTAATATTTTTTTTTGTTGGAAAGAGCATCTCAAGGCGCAGGGCATGACAAGACCGCTTTTTTTAAACAGTCCTTTTTTAAGCGCAAAAAATGGATCACAAGTTCAATGTCTCAGAAAAGTATCAAAAAATGGTAGCAAAATCATATAAATGGCTGTATATTAACCAAACAAAGGCTTAATTCAAAAAAAGGGCACGGTCATGCCCTGCGCCTTGAGATGCTCTTTCAAGCAAAAAAATAATTTTAATACGTTGAACGAATCGGGAAGGAGAAATTTGGGATGCCTTTTTGAGAAAGTGGAAACTGAGAAAAAACGAAAAACATTTTTTGATTTTTCAAAAAACAGCTGGTTTTTCGCATAGGGGTTGACAGAAATCTTGAAAATTTTTTGGGAAAAATGAAGTAACGAGAAAAACAAATTATCGTTTATGAAAGAGCAGATGACGGGCTATCTTCCCATGCATTTATCTCAACTTTGACCATTCTGACGAAAACTGACTTTTTATGAGGGGGGGTGGGGTGGCCTTGATGCATAAATAGAGCTCTATCTTCCGATCACAGGGATGATAGTTCAAGGTTTTCTGGGGTGGAGAACTCGAATCTGTGTTCCATTCGCCTCGAAATTCCATTGGTTGAGCAGTGACCAATAGAAATGAAGTTATAGGAAAAACGAGTTTCTTAGGGTAAATCAAGGGGAAGAGTTGAAATCTGATCTGTATCTGCCTCCAAATCCTATTGATTGAGCAGTAGCCAATAGAAATCAAGTGTTTATGGAAAAGGCTTGCTAGGACAATTTTGATGTCCAGACATTCGTCGGATGACTCATCTGTCTCATTCACTTTTCTTCAGTCCACATAACACTCGGATTTAAATCCGAGGTTTCCACATATATTTAAGCAAAAAATCGATAAAATTGACAAAAAACTGCGTAAAAATGTAATCAGTGTCGTGTTTCTAGCTTTTCTATAAATCAAAATAAAAATATCGGCCTTTTCTAGATTGGTAGCCCATTAGGTGGCGACTCTAGTCCACTCCTTAAAGTTTAAAATTGGTTCTATCTTCACTTTCAAGATGATCATGAATCACTACTGAATTATGAAATAAATTCCAACAATTTTACATCAATCCATGCGGTAGATAA